AAAATAAACAAATGACATCTAATGAAACATAAAAGCTTCTGCACAGTAAAGGAAACAAACAATAACAGATAAAGACAACGCACAGAGGGAGAAAATATTTGCAAATGATGTGACCGACAAGGGATTAGTCTCCAAAATATACAAACAGCTCATGCAGCTCTAGGTCAAAAGAAACAAGCAACCCAATCAGAAAATGGTCAGAAGATCTAAACAAACAGCTGTCCAAAGAAGACATACAGATGGTTAAGGAGCATATGAAAAGATGCTCAACATCACTTATTATCAGAGAAATGCAAATCGAAACTACAATGAGGTATCATCTCCCAGCAGTCGAATGGCCATCATCAAAACGTCTACAACAATAAATGCTGGAGTGGGTGTGGAGAAAAGGGCACCCTCCTACACTGTTTGTGGGAATGTAAATTGGTACAACTACTATGGAGAACAGTATGGAGGTTCCTTAAAAAACTTAAAATAGAACTACCATATGACCCAGCACTCTCACTCCTGGGCATATATCCAGAGAAAACCATAATCCAAAAGGATACAAGCACCCAAATATTCGTTGCAGCACATTTACAATTTCCAAGTCATGGAAGCAAGCTAAATTTCTATTGAGAGAGGAATGGATAAAGATGAAGTGGTACATATATACAATGGAATATTATTCAGCCATGAAAAAGAATGTATTAATGCCATTTGCAGCAACATGGATGGACCTAGAGATTCTCATACTAGGTGAAGTAAGTCAGACAGAGAAAGAAAAATATTATATGATATCACTTGTATGTGGAATCTAATTTAGAAAAAGATACAGCTGCATAGCACAGGGAGATCAGCTTGGTGGTTTGTTACCACCTAGAGGAGTGGGATAGGGAGGGTGGGAGGGAGAGGCGAGAGGGAGTGGATATGGGGATATACGTATACATATAGCTGATTCACTTTGTTATTCAGCAGAAACTAATACAACATTGTAAAGCAATTATACTCCAATAAAGATGTTAAAAGAAAAAGATAAAAGTGAACTCATTTACAAAACAGAAACAGACTTATAGATATTGAAAACAAACTTATGGTTAACAAAGGGGAGACGTGGCGCCGGTGGGATAAATCAGGAGCTTGGGATGAATACCTGCACACTGCTATAAATAAGATGGATAACCAAATAAGACCTACTGTATAGCACAGGAGACTCTATTCAATATTCTTTGGTAACCTATATTAGAAAAGAATATAAAAAAGAATGATTATATTTATATGTATAGCTGAATCAGTTTGCTGTACAACTGAAACTAACACAACATTGTAAATCAACTATACTCCAATGAAATTAAAATATTAAAATAAAAAATTTTAGAAACGTGTCTGAAGATTTCAAAATAACCAGACAATATTGAACATTTTTCAGCATTTAATTCAGGAAAGAAAATTTGAAATTTCAAGCTCTTATGAGCTGAATACTCAGTTTAACTTCACAAATTCCTATTTGCTCTAGGAAAGTTCAATTTTATCTCCTCTTAGAGAATGTCCATGAAACATCCACCTGGCATTTCACTTTGAGTATCCTGGGAAAGGGAAGTATACTCTACACTTGTGGATTCATAAATCACTTGTGCTATGTGGAATAGAACAATTATACATAGCTGAAGTGTATAGATTGGTGTATATAAAACCAACAGAAACCACTTGGGCATGAACACATCCAGAATCTGAAAACCAAGTCACACTGAGATCATATACCTGTATTTAGTTTTCTAGAAACTTACCAGGAACCAAAGTACATTGTTTTTAATGGTATCCCAGATAAAAATGGATGTCAAAGGTCATTGAGTCCAATCACTCTTCTGAAGCATGGAAGACAAATTGTTTGGATTCCAGGGTCTCAGTAATTAGCTACATTTCCATCAAGGAAATGGGAATAAGATTACCTGATTTCAAGCACTGGATTGCTGCCCTTCTCACCTTCTAATCTGTTCTCTCTACAACCTTGGATATCTTTCTAAAGTACAAATCTGGTCAAGTCACTCCTCTGCTTAAAACTCTTCAATGTCTTTCTTTGCTCTTACGGTTAAATTGAAATCCCTTAACATGAATTATAGTTTCAGTTGGTCTGACTTCAGTCTATCTCTTCATCCTCATTTTAGTCCACTCCTCCTGTTGCTCTAATACTCTCATCAGGTCCTTTTGACCTCAGCACTAGTCTACTGTAATAAACTGTTTATTTGTATACATCTACCATCTGGTAGTCTCCTCCATGAAGGCAAAGATCATATTTATGTTGTTTATTGCTGTAACATTAGTGACTATCATAGTGCTTGGAATATAGTAGGTACTCTACAAGTATTTGTTGAAAGAAGGGAAGGAAGGATGAACACAGAAACAGATGGAGGAAAAGTGTTATTTTTGAGGATAGACCAAACATAAAAATATTTTTATAAAGTATTATTAGAAATTATAAGATTTGGGACCATTCAGAGAAAGTATCTTTTATAATCTACCCAGAAGGCAGCTCAATTTCTTCATCTATGTCTCCATTTGTGTTTTGGTGGGGGGGAGGTGGGGGGACAGATCATAACAGAACAAAATATTTCAATGCTCACAGTGTTTTAAATGATTCAATTCTTCAGACTTTATTGATCACTAAGGATAATTACAAACTCCCACCAATGTGAAAAAGATTATTAAAACTCAAAGACAACACCCAAATGCACAGACTCTGTGTTGCTTGTGGGGTTTCCTTTATTGGTCACATGTAGACAAAGCCAGCTATAGCAATGATATTTAAGCTCAGGGTATAACTCCTCACATGGTTGACCCATTCTTTACACATCATTTTTTTAAAAAATGGAGTTTCTATAAATCTACACTCACTTATACAAAGAGGAAACATATGTATTAGCTCCATGATGGGAAAAATCATAACGAAGCTAGGAGTATGTAGGTGAGGTGGTTGATCTTCAGGAACTTTTCCTTACCCCATGGTCTACAGAACAAAGTGCAGTGATCTAGAGCACTGATCTTGAGAAGCTTCCTAATTCCATTTAATATGAAAACCATTATCAGATCATATGTATTATACCCAGAATTGTGTTAGAAAAATTGGGAGAAATTTAAAAGAAGCAAAATCCTTATATAAATACCCTAAAAATGACATGTAGTTCTTAAGCAACTTTATCTTGATTTTATATTTGTAATTTCTTCCCCTTTCTCATGTGCTCCTCAGGAATCTGGAAATACTTGTCTTTTATCCAAGAAACCTTAACTTCCCTCTGTATATATGTGGTATCAAAAGCTTCAAAGTGTCACCATTTTGTTTGTTATTATAAATCAACATTTATTATCTATGTATTTAAAGTTTCTGCTTCTGGGGTTTTTTTGTTAGCCTGGGTTAACATGGTAGTCATGCTAATAAAAATATCCATGGTCACCATTTCTACTTTACAGTTTTACAATGTGATTTCTAAGTCATTTAAATCATGGAACTAATGAAATCGCTTGTACACCAAAGTTTAGCATTAGGCCAAAGTCTACCAAGTAGGAGATATTCATACTATTTTCTTAGTATAGAGATATTTATCTTATCAGTACATTTATTCATTAATCTGATAAATATTTATAGAGTGCTTATTATGTGCTAAACATTTTTGGAGATATAACCATGAGCCAAAAAGTCTTGGTCTCTGCCCATATGGCACGTAATAGCTAACACCTGGAGCTTGACATCTACCAGGCACAAAATAAGGATGACTTCGGCTGTCAAAATGTGTGGAGTTTTCAAATATGACCTTTAAGATAAATAGAGTTTGAAGTTTTACTCTGTATCCAGTATATATTTAACTTTAGAGAGTCCCTATTTATATTCATTATTTAGAAGAATAAAAAGAGACAATTATCTTTTCTATCTTATTCCTTTGATTTTTATAAACATTGAGAAACATTTTGAAAATGTTAGGATTTCTAGTGTGTTGCAGACCCTTAACATTTGCTCTCCTCTATTTTTTTTTTTTTTTTTAATTTTTGGCTGCATTGGGTCTTTGTTGCTGTACACGGGCTTTCTCTAGTTGTGGCGAGCGGGGGTTACTCTTCATTCAGGTGCACAGGCTTCTCATTGTGGTGGCTTCTCTTGTTGCACAGCATGCACTCTAGGCGTGCAGGCTTCAGTAGTTGTGGCACGTGGGCTCAGTAGTTGTGGCACATGGGCTTAGTTGCTCCACAGCATGTGGGATCTTCTTGGACCAGGGCTTGAACGCATGTCCCTTGCACTGGCAGGTGGATTCTTAACCACTGTGCCACCAGGGAAATCCCTACTCTCCTGTAATTTAAACAGGAATACCTAAGGAAGAGAGAGACTGTGGGAAATGAAAAACCTCCATTTACCTCTCTGTCAAGTCAGGTTTTCCATGTACTTTCTTAGGGTGCAAATTAAATTTTGTGACATAATTGCTATCTTTCAGACTGGATGGATCTACGCATATTACCTTAGATAATAACAGGATCAAGAAAAAGATAAGAGTCTCACAAGTGACAGGCTACTAGTATAACGTAATGCCAAAGACAGGAGGAGAAGGCCAAAGAACACTTACTGGTAAGTGGTTGGGCTGACATTGATGCGTCGAGGGTGACTTCCTGCTCCACAGCATGTGGGATCTTCTTGGACCAGGGCTTGAACGCATGTCCCTTGCACTGGCAGGTGGATTCTTAACCACTGTGCCACCAGGGAAATCCCTACTCTCCTGTAATTTAAACAGGAATACCTAAGGAAGAGAGAGACTGTGGGAAATGAAAAACCTCCATTTACCTCTCTGTCAAGTCAGGTTTTCCATGTACTTTCTTAGGGTGCAAATTAAATTTTGTGACATAATTGCTATCTTTCAGACTGGATGGATCTACGCATATTACCTTAGATAATAACAGGATCAAGAAAAAGATAAGAGTCTCACAAGTGACAGGCTACTAGTATAACGTAATGCCAAAGACAGGAGGAGAAGGCCAAAGAACACTTACTGGTAAGTGGTTGGGCTGACATTGATGCGTCGAGGGTGACTTCCCGATTCGAATTTGCTTGCCAGAGTGACATTATTTCCAAACAGGCAATATCGTGGCATTCTTACCCCAACAACTCCAGCCAGCACAGAGCCTGAGTGAATGCCTATTCTCATCTAAAAAAGAAAAGGAAAACGATATATTTATGTTTTCATTTGGTATGCGATTATTTTAAAAAGAGTTACTGCTGAAC